TCCATCTACAGTACTAAGTAACCACAAATATAATATGGAAAGTAATTAAAAGTAAAGGAAATATAAGTATGCAATAAAGATAAACATACACTTAAACATGCTAAAGAAACCTAGACTAGGCTTGACTTGCTAAGGGGTGAACCAGTCCCCAGCAGAGTCGCCATCTGTCGTACCTCAAAAAATACGATCTTCGTGATGTGCAAAACTAGGGTTCGCACGATCACAGATGGACTTATGAGAGTCTCCACCAAACTTTATTTATTCCCACGAGAGGAACGGGAAAATATCGAGAAAACCCATAGGGAAAAAGGATAGGGTATGATCATCGCAACCATGTTGGGTTCAGAAGTCGGTTATGTAAGGAGAAGGTGCTAACACTCCCTACATCCATCGTACTCGATGGGAACCGTCTAAGTTATTCTAGGCATGAAGGGTGTTTGTTATCTATAAGCTTGCTAAGGGAAAGATGATTGCTTGAGGGAAAAAAAGGAAGATTTTTTTATTATTGAGTTTGTCTGAGTTTTCAACCCAGTGCCTACGTATCCCAGAGGGAATCAAAACTCCGTAGTTCTTGTTGAAAATATTTTTTGGTTGGTTGTATATTTTTTATGGACGATGATAGGCGGCATGCTCTTTTCGAAAAGTTTTTAACAAAACGCCAAGAGGCAAAAAGGTTTAATATTTGTTAAATTTCTTTTAAAGTTTGAAAAAGAGGTTAGAGATAAGCTAAAATATTTTTGGATATTTTGGAAAAAGAGATTTTAGTTTTAAGAAAAAAATACCCGATAAAAGATCGATGTTTGAATTTGCATGATGGCGATTGCAAAACGCAACCGACTTATGAGGGAATTAACCACTTAACTTTGGATCAAGGGTTTGAGAAAAAGTTAGGCCGATTCCTAGTCCTTAAGGGTGCTCATAGTAAATAAAACCGCAATTAAAGAAAGAGAGAAAGTGTTAGCATGAGGTTGATGGTGATGCTTAAAAGCAATCGCCTTACAAGGGTTTAAAAATGGCTTGATTAAATTAAGAATTAGTTTTAAAAGTAATTTAGGCGTGAACGGAAATAAGATGCATGCAAAATATTAACATCACACATCAAATGAATCAAAACATAAATTGAAAATAAAAGTGCACGGATTAAAATCATGATACAAATACACAAATCAAGATCACGTACGCGAAAACATGCAAAGGCTACAAAAAAAACTAGATTTGATCTAAAGATAACGATGTTGAATCATTGCAAAATAATACAAATTAAAATAGTAAATTGTTATCGTGTTATTGGTCATCGCAAGTCAAATCAACAAGCAACAACATAATAAAAATCAAATTAAGACACAAAGTTGCAAATCAAAACACGAATTGGTCGGTGCACAACAAGCGGATTGCCGCTAGACCAAACCATTGGACGCGTGCATAAAATCGAAATGCAACGATAATCAATTTAAAAGAGTAAAAATAAAAATCGCACATAAACTGATAGAATTACTCAATAGCTTGCTACACTTAACGTGATCATCGCGATCTGGATCCAAATCGTGCGGATCTAAATTTATAAAAATAGAAAATGCATAGAAAAAGTAAATTTAACGTGCTAAAAAAATCAACAATATTAACGCAAAAATGCGATCATCAAAACCGGATCAAACCAACACAAATATCACGCATCATGCACATCAATATGCAAATAGCGTATCGACAAGATTTTATCTAAATAATTTAATAAAATAAAATAAAACATATATATATATATATATATATATATATATATATATATATATATATATATATATATATATATATATATATATATATATATATATATATATATATATATATATATATATATATATATATATATATATATATATATATATATATATATATATATATATATATATATATATATATATATATATATATATATATATATATATATATATATATATATATATATATATATATATATATATATATATATATATATATATATATATATATATATATATATATATATATATATATATAACGTGGGTTATGTATACAGTAAAGCTAAAGGTTATATCTCTTATACTCTATATATTAAAGCATGGAATAGATATATTAAAACAAAAAGTTATTTATACAGAAAAACAAATGTTATATATTATGATATACACTACAAGAAACATTGTATTTTTTCAAGTGATTTTCACGTCACTAACTCAAAAATCACTTCACTGATCAACTTTTGCAACGTGGATAAAACACGTCGGAAATGCAATGGTGGGAACATTTTCCCACGTGGAAAATAGGTCACAAAGTTGTGATATAGTTCTCACGTCGCAAATAACAAAATTAAGAGAAAAAGTTCCCACGTGAAAACGAAGTCACTAATTAGTGACGTGATAATTTGTTTCCCATGTGACTCACACGTCACTAATTTGTGGCTTTGATTTCACATGGGAGCCCACACACTCATTAAATTGTTTCCCATATGATTCCCACCTCACTAATTAGTGACGTGGTTTGCATGCCACAATGAAAATATTTTTTATATTAGTGGCATGGGATGCACTTCACTATGAAATTTAATAATAATAAAAAATAAATAATATTAACTGAAAATAACTATAAAATTAAAATAAATATTAAATATTAACTATAATATTTAAAAAATTAAAATAATTTTTAATTAAAATAATATACATTAAAAAAATATTAATATTTAGTCACATAAAATTCACATCACAAATCCAAATAATAATATTAAAAGTTGTCACGTAATATTCATGTCACAAATATAAATAATAATAAAAAAAGTTATTCGTCGTCGGTACTAAATGATGCATCTTCTTCTTCTTCATCATCTTCGACAAAATAATTCGATTTCGAAGCAAAAAAATTTCGCATTTGTGCCTCCATGTCTGATTGCCGCTTCCTCATTTCCTTTATTTCAGCATTTTGTCTATTTCTCATATTCTCCATTTCGGCCTTTAGGGCCGCCTCACGTGTCTTCGCCTCTCGTATCGCCTCAGATAGAGCTAACTGTCTCACTGTTGCCAACATTTCGGGTGTCAATTCTGCCGGACGAGTTCCTCCTTCCCCATCATCGAGTCTTGGAAATAAAGTTCGGTCCCCTTTTCTATAATCGCCAGCCAAAGACCCCAGACCAAAAAAAAATCCATTGACTCCCTTCCCGCCTACTATTAAATTCCAAATATAAAGATCAACGCGTGGATCAAGCGGTGCATCCCCAATCGGGGTATACTGAGGATTTTCAATTAGAAATTGGGCAAGCAAGGTCTGGTACAACTCCTACACACACATAAAAAAAATTAAATTAAATATAATTTAAACAATTTAATTATATACAGTAATTATGAAATTAAAAGAATTCAACTATATAATAAACAAGTTACCAAGGTTGATTTGGAACGGCCGTCAACAAACTCCCCCAATTTTTTGGTTCGGGTCTTCACAAATAGCTCATTAATTCGTGGCTCCCTCCCCAAATCCTTTTTCTAATTAAAATAATGGAGTTTAATTAAATATATAATAATACAAAATAAAACTTAAAAAAATAGTTATAATTACCATTCGTCGACGATGTTCGCCAATACTGATACTTCCAACTATACTAAGACAGCCACCTGCTTCAGATGCCCTCATCTTTTTAGCATGTTCAGATCTTCTCTGAAGATCTTCTGAATTTTTTTTTAATTTTGAACTCGTCAAATTTTTGCCAAATACACCTTTCCTGCAAGTTATATGAAAGTCAAATAAAATTTTAGATATATATAACAAAAAATAATTATAAAATAACATAACTATAATAAAAATATAATTTACCTTGAATTTATCAAACCATATATCTTTCTCAGTATCTGGGAGCTCTCCGAAAGACTTAATGAGTTTTGTATACATCACTTGAATGACCCAGTTTAAAGCTTTTGCAGCAGGCTGACACGGATCAAAACTAAACAACAATAATTTGAACGAGTATTAAACATAAAATGGCAATATATATTTTATATATATATATATATATATATATATATATATATATATATATATATATATATATATATATATATATATATATATATATATATATATAGCTAAATAAATATTATAAATTAAAAACATACCCAGATCCCTCAAGCCTAATCAGATGTCGTTCTTCAACCACCAAAAGCTCATCTGCAACAAGATTTGTCTGCTCCTCATGAACATCGTCATCCTCCTGAATAGTGTGGTCATCCTGCTGCTGACGCGCAGGTATATGTGTGGGGTGTGGAATGCGGGAGCCAGATCCCTCTGGCTGGTGTGTGGAGGGAATCGGATGAGGAAAACTAGATCCTGAAGGTTGCGGCGTGAAGGAATACTGCTGAGGAAAAACAGATCCCCCGGGATGTGCGAAGTGAGTCTGATGAGGAAAACCAGATCCCCCAGGCTGTTGTGTGAAGGAATAATGCTGAGGAAGAAAACTAGCTCCCCCAGGAAAATTAGATCCCCCAGACTGTTGCGTAAACGTAGATGGTACATGGGGAAAACTAGATCCCCCAAACTGCTGTGTAAACGTAGATGGATGCATGAAGGATCCCGCAAACGGACTAATAAACGATGGATTCCCAGATGGAACCGTTTGGGAGGAGGAGAGTAATGTCGTAAATGGTTGTGAAGTGTCTACGGACATTAGATCTGCCTGAGTCTGTGGACGAGAAGCCTACATGGGCGAGGGCGGTACCTCTAGCGCCTCATCATTAATACCAAACTCATTGTCATAAAACAACATACGTTCATTTATGCAACAATCAATCTTTCGTACTTCTAAACCCAACTTCGACACCAACCTCTTTGCATCATAATAACTTGTAGGCAAGTTTTCTTTCGTAGGAGTCGCATCCAACATCATTTTTGCAAAGTATTCCAAACACTGATCAGGAACATTCCAATTTGACTTTGCGACCAATAATCTCACACACATTAATAATTTTGAATCTGCCGACCCCTCAAACAACGGTGTATTCATTTCTTTCAACAATTGGTAAAATCTTTGTGCTTCCAACCATTTCATTCGGCAACTCTTCCCCATCAAAATCCTGAGGTTCATCATATGTCACATTTACTCCAAATGCATTTCCAACCATTTCATCGATCAGATTAAATTGTTCATCAAATTCCATATGTGATCGACTGCTTGATGTGTGTGTATTAGTTGTCTCTGCATATACGTTACTCGGCAGTTGTTCTCCATTATATGTCCAAACCCAATAATTTTTAATGAAACCACCATTCCTCTTCAAATGACGTTCTACTTCCTCTGGGTCACTAATTATAGGTCTACATTCACATTTAAGACAAGGACATCTAACTCCTTCTTCACGTCGACAACATTCTTGTGCAAATGCCCACGTGATAAACCCCTTAACTCCTTCCTCAAAATTTGTTGTAAGTCCACGTCTTCCTGATAACGTTCTATCGTACATCCAACTATGATAGTAACGAAAATATTTCATACTGCACATTTGTACTATCATTATATATCATTTTAATAAAATATGTAATTTAAATCTATTTTTTCTATTTCGACACCAACCTAATAAAATATGTTCACTAAAATAATATAAATTATGTTTACTAAAATATACTACATATTCTCAAAATATAATATTCTAAAATATAATATATAATTTGTTTACTAATAATAACATATTTAAAATATAATATATATTCATTATTTTTAAAAATTTGTTTTTCTAAAATAATATATTACTAAAATATAATAACTATTCAATAATATAATATTCTATAATATATATAATTGGTTTACTAAAAATAACAAATTTAATACATATTCATTTTTTTTAATAAAAATACTTTTTCAAAAAGTAATACATTTAAAAATAACACATTTAAAATATAATACATATTCTTTATGTTTTTAAAAAAATATATTTTAATTTTTTCTATTTACAATATTGTTTACTAAAAATATTTATAAAAATTCTACTTTTTCTAACATAATAAATATTCTGTTTTTAAAAATTAAAAATACATATTCTTTATGTTTTTTTAAAATAAATATTCTTTAAAAATAACACATTTTAAATATAATACATATTCTTTATGTTTTTTAAAAAATATATTTTAATTTTTTCTATTTACAATATTGTTTACTAAAAATATTTTAAAAAATTCTACTTTTTCTAACATAATAAATATTTTGTTTTAAAAAATTAAAAATACATAACATATTTAATTTGTTTCTAATATATTATTTTTGTTTCTAATAAATATTTTGTTTTTATAATTTGTTTCTAATAAATATTCTGTTTTTCTAATTAAAAATACATAATATATTATTTTTATTTTTTGCTTTCAACAACAATACAATACATACATATATATATATATATATACACACACACACACACACACTTACATCTAACAACAAAAAATCTAAATTTTTTTAATCAATATTCTAAAATAATATTTCATATATCACCAAAATCTCAAAGATAAACAAATTGAAATGCATAAATACCTCAATGTAGAGCTAACTTCAAAGCTTCCAATGGAACTTCTTAATCAATCTTAGATCTGGAAAAATCAACAATTAATAATAAGAAAAACATAAAATAAACGGTAAGGTAAAACAGTCACAAACCAACATACAAATGCTTCACTTAAATTTTTTACGAAATTTTCGGTAAAAATGGAGCTCTGAGGGAGGCAAAAGGAGAACAATGAAGGGAAGGGGAAGAAGGAAGAGGCAGCAGGAAAGAAGAGAAACGAGATGTGGCTGAAGAAATTATGGATAAGTGAATATATAGGGACACTTGCGACATGGTGGCCACGTGAAAACCACGTCGGAACCATCTACCTTTTCAACATTTGCGACGTGAAATTCCGTTAAGAAAATTTCCACGTGCAGAACACGTCGGAACATTCCCATATATTAAAATATAACCGTTGCTCCACTAAATTCCAACGCAACGGTTAATGAAAAAGCTGAGACATTTATTATTTGCAGTTTTGAGACGTGAAAGGCATGTGGGTATTTTGTGACATGCTACTCACGTGGCAAATAAAAGGACTTTTTTGAATTTTCAGTTCCTTTGTGTTTTACACGCCACAACTGAATTTGTGAAAATTTCAAACTTCTCTCTCTTAAAATTCCAAAATTTCGTTGCAGATTTTAGGTGTTCTTAATTTATTAATTAAATATTTTAGAGACGTGGGAATCACTTGGCAACAGGTTTTTTCCCACGTGTTTACCACGTCACTAAATCACTAGGGAAAATCAACATTTTCTTATAGTGATATATTGAAATATGGGTTGCGTACACTCAGAAACAGACGTAATATATTCAAAAATAGCAGATGGATTAACATATATCTTTTACACAATGAATCGGTACTATCTTAATGTTTCTTTCTTTTTCTTTTTTTCCAGTCCCCATTATTCAACAGTACCAAGAGTATATATAGGGACTAAATTAAGGTTAATTTTAAATTGTCAATAATGTCTCTAATATTTATTTTAAAGCCTAAATTAAATAATATTAAATCCAAAATAAATTTTAAACAAAAAATAATTAAAATAAACTTAAAATAAAAACTAATAATTCTATTTATTTATTCTAAATATTTAGACAAAAATGTAAAAATAAACGGACCCCAAATAAATAAAAGTATGGCTCCCAAGTGCTCCAAAAAAATCGAGCATACCAAAATGATTAGCACGAAATAAACGACTCAGAAAAATACAGTGTTTAGTCAGATTTAAAAATAAATTTTGACCCGTTAAAATGCTCAATTTGATCAAAATATATCTTGTGGAAAAGATCATATGACCTAAATTTTTAGAAGATTATGGTCAAAGACCAGATCATCTTACTGAGAGAAAGCTTATAAAGGTAGGACAAATTTGGGGTATGACATGTAGGCAAATATATCTTGTTACTTATATGTTGTGGAGTTAACTCTTCTTGTATACCCATTAAACCCAAATCCAGACGAGCATTATAAACATCTTTTGTCTTGCCTTGAATGTTGAGGAGTGTTCCAATTAAACTATCGCATACATTTCTCTCCATGTGCATCACATCAATACAATATCTTACATCAAGACTAGACTAATATGGAAGATCAAAGAAAACCGACCTCTTTTTCCATATATTTTTTACAGTAGATTGCTTTTAGTACTTTCCAAAGACAACATTAATGCACTGTTTTCGTTGATAAACTTTCTCTCCAGTTAAGGGCTTTGGAGCAACCCCATGCTCTTGTTTCCCATTGAAAGCTTTCCGCAATCTACGATATGGATGATAACGATTTAGAAATTTTCGATGTCCGAGATAAACAGTCTTCTTTCCGTTTTCAAGTTGATGGTAACATGTGTATTTTTCACATATAGGACACGCTTTATGCCCTTTAACTTTATACCCAGACAAATTTCCATATGCCAGAAAATCGTTGATGGTGCAAAACAACATGGCACGCATATTGACTTGTTCACCAGAATACGCATAAAAAACATCCACCTCTTCCTCCCACAACACTCTTAAATCATAAATCATTGGACTTAGATAAACGTCTATGTCATTTCTTGGTTGTTTTGGACCCGAAATCATCATCGATAACATAATATGTTTACGCTTCATGCACAACCTAAGAGATAAGTTGTAAATCATCAGGAGAACAAGCCAAGAAGTATGGTTAGTACTTAGATTACCAAAAGCATGCATTCCATAATTAGAAATTCCAAGTCTAAGGTTTTTCGACTCTTTGCCAAAATTTGGAAACAAAGAATCTTTTTTCTTCCATTGCAAAGAATCAGCTACATGGCGAATTTGTCCATCACATTTTCTTTCTTCTGCATGTCATCTAAGATTCTTTGCGTCATTTGCATTAGCAAATAATATCTTGAACCTTGAAATTATTGGTAGGTACCATACCACTTTCGCGAGAGGACCCTTTTTGACCACCTCATCATCACTAGAATCACCATCTTTCTTTTTGTAGTGTGACGCCTTGCACTTCAGACAATGATTATAGTTTACATACTTTTTTCTGTATAATATGAAATCATTAGGGCATGCATGTATCTTTTCATACTCCAAATCCACCGGACACAATAATCTCTTCGCCTCGTAATAACAATTTGGAATTATGTTACCTTCTAGAAGCATTTGTGTTAACAATTCAAGCAATTCGGTAAAAGTTTTGTCAGTCCATCCATTATTTTCTTTCAAATTAAACAATTTTAACACGACTGACAAACATGTAAAATTTGTGCATTTCGGGTACAAAGGTTTATCCTTGTCACTGCATAAAGTATCATACGTATTTTCCCGCTTAAACGAATCTTGTCCAATATCACGCATCATGTCTTCCAGACAATCATCCAATTCTACAATAACATTATCTTTTTGAGACACATTTGACTTTGCTACTACTTCACCGTGCCATATCCATTGTGTATAACTTTGACAAATCCCTTCACAAATGAGATGATCTATGATTTCTTTCTTATGAAGTTTTGATTCTTGATTTGTACAACGAATACATGGACATAGAAAAAGCACATGAAAACTTTTTTCAGTATTACTTTTACGAGGAGGAAGATTTTTTTTAGCATTACTTTCAGCAAACTGTAGAAATTCTATCACTCCAACTACGATCCATACCTATATTCCGAAATTAATGCATACAGAGTTAAATCATTGGGACGCCTACAATAGTCCCTCTTTTGGGCACATTAGAAAGAACAAAATATCTAAAATCAACTTCTCATCAAATCACATCAATTCGATCACATACAAGATAAACAAACTATATTGTAGTATAACCAAATCAAAAATTCAATAAACATGTTATCCATCAGAAAATTGAAAACCATTTGGTTTAACACAATATAGCATCAATTTGATCAATGTTTATTCGATGGTAAAATGATATAAACATCAAGTTACGGCATCGTAATAACACTCCTAATTTATAAGCTCACAAACATATAACTATAATCGTGATATAGTCAAAATCTGTACAAACAACTGTATATGAAATAGATCAATATGATCATCCACTAAGCACTAGTGAAACTTAAAATTCGCGAATTCGGCATCGAAACACATGCAGAATAAAACGGTAGCAACAAGCACGCCGGAAAAATAGTTTTGACACACATTCGTAAGATATTTACAACAAGATCGGTTAGCATATAATATCAATAGAACCCCAACTGAAAAGAAACATTATAATCGAAATCAAAACTGTGAATTAGTGGATATCATCAGCATAAAATCAATACAAATAAAACAAGAATCATTACCGTAATGCCCGTGGCTGGGCTGCTTCTGTTCTGCTTTGCGGAGGCGGTCGAGGACGAGTGAGCGACGGTGGCGATCGAGGACGACTGAGGCGACGGTTGAGATCCCGACTGCGTTGATTCTGTTCTACTTCGCAGAGGAGATCGAGGACG